TCTGGAGACTGATGTTTAATAGATGTTGATGGAATTTAATTTTTATACACACTACGTGTGAACATTTATCTTCCAAATAAAATGGTGTGAAACCTTAGGTGGCGCCAAAAAAATTCAAAACAAATTATTTTTCACTCTGTGTCCTTAAATCAAGTTACAGAGACTGAGCAAAGTAGAAAAGCTGGTTTCTTTATGCTTAGAATTTAAAACCTGAATGTAATTACTAATAATTTATTACACTGAAAGTATCAACAGGCATTTTGCCAGACTTATTACCATTATGAAATATTTCTAAAATGGTACCTGAAAAGAATCTTTCTCCACAACCCATTTTTCCATTAATTTTCATTAGGCAAGAAGTCCTCTCTGGAAGAAAAGGAAATCTGGCCCCCAACATATTAAATAATAGTCAGCAGGATAAATGTTTTGAAAATTTTTATAAGAAGAAAGAACTCTAATAAAGCAATGCCACTCAAAACACTTGTAATGTTAGAGGCAAAACAGCACTAGAATATTACTGGTGAATGAGCCTCAGTTCAGCAAGCTCGGTACCTGAGCTCTGGCTAAGAAAGAAGTCAGAGCAAAGAACTTGAATTATAAGAGAATGTTTATTTAGAAAGTCATGGAGGCAGAAAGAAGTGAGCCAGCTGGGCTGCGTGGGCCCAAGAAACAAGTTAGAGAGGCAAAGGAGGGCCCTTGAAACTCAGGAGAAAGGAATCAAGGGTATATGAGGGATGAGAGGGGGACAGTGTGAAGGAAAGGGGAAGGTTTGGGTGTGCTCCAGAGTCTTGAGGGTTTTTATCTGGAGGTCCCAGGGGAGGATCAATAGAAAATATTCCACAGCTTTCCAGGTGTGTCTCGTCAGGGTTGTGGTCTCCACTGATTGGTCAGCACGAGGGGGTCATTTGTCATCAAAGCTGATTCTGACCATGGCTTTGCCCAACTGGTTTTGTTGCTTTTCTGGGCCACAACTGAGGCCTAGATATCATCTCTGGGGCTTAATGCTTCAGGGGTTGGTTGTTGGAGGGCTGGCATGGAAGGCATATGAGGCTATTCTCTGGCTACCTTTTTCTTCCTCCAAAGGGGTCTACCACATGACCATGGACATGCAGGGGAGGAGAGGTCAGGAGAGGGCCTGAACCACGTGACTAGCAGATGGGAAAGGTCAGGGAGTCTAAACCACACAACCAGCAATATGCGAGGGGGGAAAGGTGACCCTGAGGGTGAGATCCCACACTACAGCTGTCTCCTGCTAGGCACTCAGGGCATGGGGCCCCAGATGACCTTCTGTGCCTGGTCTATGGTCCTCGCTGAGCCCATGCCTAACTGCTGACCACAATATTATAGGCACTTGACAATGTGGGTTGAATGAATTAATTTGTGTTCTAAGGCTGTGCTTAAAAGCATAACACATCTTGTTTTTTTAATCCTCACTTATTGATTTAGAGAGAGAAAGAAAGAAAAATATCAATGTGAAAGAGAAAAGTTGATCGATTGTCTCCATACGCACCTCAACTGGGGAGTGAACCTGAGAACTAAGTATGTGCCTTGACCTAGGATCAAACCTGCAACCTTCTGTGTATGGGATAATGCTCCAATCAACGGAGCCACCCGGCCAGGGTACAACTTGCTTTTTTAAAATGCGTGGCTGTCTGGATGTAAAATGTAGTCTAATTACAAATTTTGCCTAATGTTATGTTTCACAGAATTTGGATAATTAATTGAAGGTAGAAGAAAATATCACCTTTGTAATCTTCCTAATTCATGAAACAACATATAAAGCAATCAGTTTATTTTCTACATATTTAAACTACTGAAATTTCTCCAGTTCCAATCAATGAAGGAAAACTCTTTCTGCTTCAGGCCTGGCACTGAAGTGCCTACTTAGTAAACATCTGATGAGTAAATGAATGATTTTGACAGTCACCAGTCACTTACAGCAAAAACGAGGTAATGCAGCGCTTCGCGAAGAACACGAGGAAACAGATCTGGGTCGTTGTCCCCATTCTGTCATGACGTAGCTGTGTGACCTTAGGTAAATGAAGTGGCCTTCCTGAGTCCCGACTTCCTCCACGTAGGGCAGATGTTCGGGATGACCTCCAGCGGCCTTTAGACCTAACACACTAGCTCTGAGTCGTAAAATTAGCCAATTGTTCTTGCCAGTTTTACCTGGGACTTTAACTGTAGATGGAGACACATCTTGGCTATAAAACTTCTGCATTTGAGATTGCATGGGGTATCCCCTAGAACTAAATCTATTAAAAGGTCAACATGTGAAATCAAGCAGTGGAAAGACAGAAGCCCGGGGCTTGAATTGAGTGCAGGAGACAGGCAGGTAGAGAGATACCCAGAAAAGTGTCTCCATAGTGTCTCCTGGGAGTTCTCTCCGGATGTCGCAGCATCTAAGTTTTCTTTATGGCTGATTAACAATTGATGAATTTATAAAAGGCTTCTGAAGAAGGGACCAGAATGCTTGATTTCCTAATTGGATAGTGACAGGGCCCATAAATAAAGGAGAATCAGTGCTGCCTGTTGGGAGACACTTGGACATGGCAGGTTGGTTCTCCTCTCTCTCTTGATTTACTGTGTGACCTTGGGCAAGTCATTCATCTTCCCCTAAACCAGTTCCCCTAATTATAAAACGGAAATAAAAATACTTGCTGCCGTCACTGAGGATTAATGAGACAAGGGGAGTATCTCAGCTCCTACAGGGGAGAAGCCTGCACAGAAGCAAGCGAAGAAATGGGAAGTGGCATCGTTAGATTATTTGCACAACGTGGGAAGGAAAAACCACACAATAACGAAACCTGGAGCTGCAAGTTTCCTAGTCTAAAAAAAGAGGAGTCCCTTCTTTTGAGCAGCCCAATTTCTCTGGCTTGCTCCACAGAACCCGCTGCGGACAGGCGAGGCTGGTAACCGGCACTGCATTCACTTCTCCAGAGTTCTAACCTTGCTCCTCTGCGAACAGTGACATCTCGGGGCAACTTCTTATTCTGTGCGAAACTGGATGATAATGCCACATACAAGATAGATGGATAATGTGTAGACACCTAACATATAGTAAGAGCCAAATGGACATCTGCTACAACTTCTGTTTTCAGCAGCGTCGTAATTCAAGCTGCTGGAATACGTTCCTCCCCAAAGTGAAAGGTCCTTAGGGAAGAGCGTGGGGTGCAAAGGTGAACGCGGTGTAAATATTCACAGGTGTTTAAAAAGGTGTGTGTGGGGTGGGGCGGAAATAATGCAATGCCTTGAAGCTCACTTTCTTGGGCTGAATTAAGAGTTTGAGGGTATTCTGACAACGCCTTTTAAAATTCTCCCACTGGATCGCGAGGGGGCGCTGTGAGCCCGCTTTGGCCGGGGAGAGGCCGAGAGCCGAGCCCCGCAGGGCGGGCTGGGTGCAGCCCGCTACCAGGGACAGCCTGCCAGGGCCGCGACCCCAGCTCGGGTTCCCCAACGGGTGGCCTGGGTGGCGGGAGGAGGGAGGAGAAGGGAGGCCACTCTTAGCCCCACAGCTCTTGGCCCACTCCCCCCTCCCAGTCAGGTTCCTTTTTGCCGGCTTTTCTTAATTTGGGACCCACGCGTCCCGGGCTTGGGAACCCAGGCAGCACCGCTCCCCGCCCCGCCAGCCGCACTCCCCGCCGTCGGGACGGAAGGGAATAGTGTTGGTGAGCCTGTGTCTGGCGTGGTCCCGGGCAAAAGGGCCAAAGCGGACGTCTGACTTTAAGGGGTCTGTGTCCCAGAAGGAGTGAACCTTGGCTTTTCTGATTTAGGGGAAGAGGGACCTCCCGCCGAAGACCAAATGAGCAGGTCTGGAACGGACTGCAAAATCATGTGTCCACCTCCGAGGTCCGGGCTAGCTGCCGTCTGGCACGCCCCGCGCGGACTCCTTCAGGAAAAATCCAGTTCAGGTCCTGAAATAGCTCAGGTCTTTCTGCAAAAAGGGCCCCGAAGACAGTGAATCTGCCCTCCACCAAAACATCTCTCAGCCCCCGGAAGAGATGAGTAGGGAGATTTGGAAGCCGCACTGGGTCTGTTCCCCTGGCCGCTCCAGTCCCCACGCCCGCAGGCCCTTGCTCGGCTGATTTTGTTGTTCCCCGTGGAGAGATGCCGCGGGCGGAGTAGTCTGAGCGTCCGCTGTGACTCCAGCTGGGTGTTGGGGTACCCACGTCAACGCACCCCATAGACAGGAGAAATCAGCTTCCCGGGCTTCAGGACCGAATGCCTCGAAGTGTCCCCGAGGGCAGAGCCGCCCGGGGCGTTGGAGCGGAACGCAGAGCTGGGGGGCTGGAGAGAAAGCACAGAGGGGTCCAGGACAAGAGGACCCGGCAGGAAGTACGGTGGGGGGCCGTGCGGAATGCCAACCGTGGGGAGGGTACAACCCGTCCCAAACTTTCGCAGACCCTAGGACCTAGGAGGGGAGAGCCAGCCAGAAGCCCCACTCACGCCCGTGGCCCAGCCTACCCAGCGGCAGCGAGGAGGGGCGGCGCGCAGCGCGCGCTGGACGCCGGCGGTCCCCGCGTCGCGCCCACCCGCGGGGCCAAAGCGACGCCGCTCCGGGCACTGAGCGGCCGCCCACCGAAGCAGCCACACCTCCGGGCTCTGGCCCGAGCGTAGGCTCCGAGGAAGCGGGATCCCACGCGGACTGGGAAAGAAGGGAACTTGACCTCACAGCCTCGCCCACCCACGTGGGGCGGGCAGTACTTGCTCCTGGGCAGCCCGCGGGCGGGCGCGCAGGCTGGAGTCAGGGAGGCTGGAGACGAAGTGAGCGCTGAGATTTCCACGGGCTGGAGAAATCGGTTAAAGAGAATTGTGAGGAGCGATCGCAGCAGCCGCTGGCGCGCGGCGGCTTAGAAGACACCCCTCCCCACTAGGAGGGCGACAGTGACACGCACTCGCGAAGACGAGGCGCTCGAGGGCTGCCGCGGGTCTGCGCGAGAGCCTCCTCCCCAGCGTGGGGCGGGCGTTCAGACGCCCACAGCGGCGGCCAGAAAGCGAGATGTGCGGCGCAGCCCCGGGACCGCCCCGGCCGGGGAAACTCCGGGGCGGCTCCGCGCGCCGCTGACCGGGTGCGGGGCCCAGGGGTGTGCCCGGCCCCGCCCGCCTCCGCCCCCGCCCGCGTCCGCCGCGCGCCCCTCCCCGCGGCGGCCGCGGCGCTTCCAGGGGCGGCGCGGAGCGACTCGCCCAGCCGCCAGCGCCGGGAGCTCCAAGCTGCTTGGGGAATTCACTTCGCCGCTTTTTCGCTTCTCCGTCCTCAGGATTCTTCTGATGGCTTTCTGTCTTCGGCTCTATCCTTTCTTTTAAAAGGGAAACTTCACTGCCATTTTGCTTTCCCCCCGTGGGGGAGAGGATTAAAAGTTCCGAGAACTGGAGGCGCCCGCGGGGCCCCGGCGCCGAGACGGCGAGTGCCGGCGGGGCTCCAGTCCCACCATGTGCACCAACATAGTTTACGAGTGGCTGCGAGCGCTGCAGCTCCCGCAGTACGCGGAGTCCTTCGTGGATAACGGCTACGATGACCTGGAGGTGTGCAAGCAAATCGGGGACCCTGACCTGGACGCCATCGGGGTGCTGGCGCCCGCACACCGCCGCCGCATCCTGGAAGCCGTGCGGCGGCTGCGGGAGCAGGACGCCGCCGCCGCCGGCCTCTACTTCACGCTGGAGCCGCAGCCACAGCCCGCGCCGCCCGCGCCGCCCGCACCGCCCGCGGTCCTCCGCCCCACGGGCCGCCGTGGGGAGCCGAGCGGCGGCCCGGCCCAAGGCTCCCGCGGGGTCCCCTGCAGACAGACGACCGCCCCCCACAGCAGGGAACTGGTGAGCTACCCCAAGCTGAAGCTCAAGATCATGATCAGGGATAAGCTGGTCCGAGACAGCATCCACCTGAGCAAACCCCCGTACTCCCGCAAGGTAAGGAGGCGCCGCCCGCGAGGGGACGCCCAGGCTCGGCAGCCCCATCCCGGTGACTGCGGGGAGGCTCTGGGCATTTGGGACTCTCTTCTGTGACCTTTCTGTCCTCGCCCTCTGTTCCTTTCTGCCTGGTGTCACTATCGGTTAGTAACGCAAGACCCTGTCCTCGGTGTTAATTCTAAACTCGGACCGAGTCTGCGCGGTCTCCTCTGCTCACCTGTCAGCCCCTGGACTCCACCCAGAAGCAGAGGGCAGTTGCCGGTGCCTCTGTGGTCGAGTTTGGCTCTGAAGGGTACCAGAAGGATGCTTAGTATCTACATTATTTCCAGCCTTCCCTGTTTCAGTTCTTTTCCTTACCTGTTTGAGAAACTAAGGCAAAGACAGGGAAATCATGCTCCCCGTTGTTCTCCATTCCATAAATCAAATTCCGGCTGCACGTGTGAAAAGTAGACCAATGACCTGAACATTCCGGTGGAAAAGTTAACCAAACACATGTCAGTCTACTTGGGATAAGTGCCTTCCACTTAAGCGTAGGGAGGTAGGTAATAGGTGCTGAGGACTGTGGACACAGTGGGGCCACTGAGGTCTGTCAGGTCTGTGCCCAGGCCCCCGCTTGGTCTGGTGTTCATCCTGAACAGACGACATACAACTGTGACTTTTAGAAAGCCTGAGTGGCTTTGCGTTGGCAAGAGTGGGACACAGCACGTGGGAGTGAGCCGTTCAGGACCAGGTGAGGAGCCCCTGTGCAGGGGCCTGAGGGAAGGAGCCTGAAGTTACAGCAGCTGCTCTGTGAAGGAGGCTGACAGGTGCGCCTGGGCGTCGCATGGTTAAGTAGCAGAAAGTCTCATGTCACACAAGAGCTCTGCCTCCACCTGAACCTGTTCTTCCTAGGATTCCCCGGCCCTCTAGAGGAGGGCGTCTGGACTGGAAGTGGGGAGGGGAGACAGCACAGGTGGTCCTCCACCTGGGGGCAGTTACCCAGGGAAAGGGGCACCTCGGCTGGAAAATCAGGGCGTGGAGAAGCTCGGGGCTGGTCGGCCGGGTGACGACATGGGGGAAGATGCTGCAGCTGCAGGGGGTCGCAACCAGCACCCTACCAGGGAAGTGCCTCATAATATCTGGACATTGTGAGCAAAGCTTAAATATCCGGATTGAAGGAAGTTCCAGAGAAAACTGCAAAAAGTAGATAACAGTATCTAGGCTGGACTCAAATGAAAGGTTTAATATTATCCATATGTTAGTTTGAAAGACAATTCGGATTCCTTGCTTGAGTGTATACATTTGCTTTCTGAAAACTATGCAGAGGACAGGTCTGGAGGACAGGCCCCTCAAATGAAACCCATGTTCCAGTCACACACTGACTGTGTGGCTGATGTGTGCCCAAAACAGAGATAGAGAGGAGGGCATGCTTTTCCCAGGCTGGTGGAGTCAGAGTTACGTCCAGGTGTGGACAGAGGGGCGGGACCATCAGTGTAACAACTCATTTCTGAAGTCAGCTGGTCAAAGGAGTTCAAGGTCAGACTTTTGTGACTTATATCCCAGGAAGTGAGGTGGGCTTAGGTTGAGAGAATGTAAGAACCTGAACACATGGTAAGTTCGAGTCCTGGACAGAAAGGGAGGCAGAGAACAAGGGATGTCATGAGGACTTACTTATTTTTGAGGAAAAGAGGTTAATGATGGGGCTGAGAAGGCAGAGGTGGGGGGTTGAGGGAGGAGGGAAGGCTGGAGGTGAGAGCGGGGTACCAGAAGTAACATATTAGGATTCCAATACTTAAAAAGACAAGACTAGATACCAACCTCAGAAGCCGAAAAAGATTCCTCCCTGCAAGAAAATTGATTCCAACCACTTGAAATGTCTGGGCATAGAGTTTGGACTGTGGGCTGCTGCCTAGATCAGTGCATGATATGGTAATGCATTTGAGTGAGTGCAGTTTATAGAAGAAAATTTCACCTTACCTTGTGATATCATTTACTTTCCATGCCAATAATTCTTTCAGTCAACTGCTATCTAAATCTCATAACAACAATGTTGGACAATGAAGACAGGTCTCCGCTCACTTTCTGTACACATTGAAGGGAGACCAAAGAATGGAGTTGACATAGTTAACTTTAAAAATAATTCTGTGACTTCATGTTTACATAGTTGTTACAAGTAGAACAAACACAGAGGTTGAAACTAACATATGATTAATGTAACCCAAACTGGGCTTGAGTGCCAGATCACATGAGTCATTCCGAATTTGCTCATATGTGCACTGTCGCTTGAGTTTTGCATCTTTGATTACTTCAGAACTTGTTTTCTGATGCAGCTTTTTTCCTTGCAGACAGTGTCAGGACTGTTTTTTTTTTTTTAACGTGATCTGCGTTATAATTTGTCCAGATTCCTTGGCTCTGTCGCGATCACAATGTGCAGTGTTCGTCACACACATTTCGAATTCTGCTCGTCAGAGCCAGCCTCACCTTCATAGTCATTTGCACTGTTGATCCCTGTGGTTTTCTGTACTGTGATGAGAATATCAGAAGGCATTGAAAGTGGATTATACGGGGGGGTGATCAAGGCAGGAATAGTGAAGCTGGCAGGGAAAAGAAAGTTTAGAGATTTCACCCACGAGTCACCTGGGAGGACTGTAAGATTTAGGATTTGCTACAGTGACCTTTGACCTTCCTGGGTGCTGAGCTGCAGTGGTGTGTTTATTAAGTTACATGGTATCATCCCACTCAGTTGCCACCCCACTCAGGTGAATTAAAATGTGAGTTACACGTAAGTTTCTGTTGTTCTACAAAGGAGGTCAGTAGCTTTGCAAAGGCAGCAGCTGGGAAAGAGCCAGGGGACTCCAGTCCTTCTCCTTCCTGTATTTACTGTCTCTGACTGCTGGGGTTTCTGCCTTAGCCAGGCGAGGGTCCACTCTTTTCACAGGGTAGGCACTGGGTAAAGCTTTCACACATCATTGCGCTACTTGACCAAGTTCCTTGCCAAAGCCTTCTGTGAGGATTCAGGTTACTGCAGCTAGCAGCCTTGCCCTCAAGGAACTTGAGGTCTAGCAGAAAAGACATAAAATGAATGAACAATAATGGCTGAGTGTGCTGATTGCTTTGAGAGGGAGCACCTGCGATCATGGACAGGTGCATCCAATCCAGTTTGCAGGGAGGTGGGGTCAAGGCCAGCTTTCCAGAATGGGAATCTTATCCAAGAACCAAAGGTTGGTGGCATTTAGCCTGAAGAAGAGGAGAGTCTAGGGTACGGGTGTTCTAGGCAGAGGGGAGAGTGTGTGCAAAGGCCAGAAGGGGAGGAAGTTTTGCATGCAAAAGGATTTAATGGAATTTAGCCTGGCTGGAGTCCAGAACCCCGGGAGGAAGTGGCGAGAGAGGGAGAGACAGACAGTGGCCTGTCCTGGGTGGCCCTGAAGGCATATTTAGGAGTTTGGAGTGTATCTCCAGAGGGGAGCTACTGAAGAGCCCTGGCCAGAGAAAGGGTAACAATTAGGGGGTGGCCTCAGTGTCAGGAGAGATTTGCTGCTGGCCTGGGCTGCTAGTGACCGTGGGAGGAGAACAATGGAGGCAGCTGAGTGGCAGAATTGACAGAAGTTGATGACTGTTTAAATGAAAGGGCGAGAGGGGCGGGGGCGGGGACATGCAGATTTCCAGTTTAGGATTACAGTGCCATTCCTGGAGTTCAGGGGACCCAGGAGAAGACAGGTCTGGGGAGGAAGATGATGCTTTCAGGTTTAAACATCTACTATGTACCTGGGAAGAATGTGAACATAGCTGGCAGCTGGAAATTTGGCAGAAGAAAGAGGAAAGATTCCGGGCCAAAAGATCTAGATGTGGGAGTCATCAGCACACGGATGCCAAGGATACGAACGGGCTGTTGAGGAAGAAGAGCAGAGGGACCCGGACAGGACCCTGGGGAGCACCAGGATTAAGGAGATGAGCAGAGGAAGGAAAACTAAGGGAGGCAAAAAGGGTGAACGCAGAGGTAAGGCAGAGGTGGGTAGCAAGTGACATGTCGCAAACAGGTGGAAACAGTGAGGCTTCAAGGAGGAGGGGCTGACTGGTCGGGAGGGCACATTCCGGTCAGGTGGGAAGCAGACCCATGCTATGTGTCGCTGAAATAGCAGGTTTGGGTGATGGGACCAGTGAGAGGAGGGAGCAGCAGGAAACACGAACAACCTTCTTTTGGTGCGTGTAAGACTTTTTTTTCAAAGAGCAGTTTAGGTTCCCAGCAAATTGAGAGGAAGGTACAGAGATTTCCTGCATACCTGCTGTCTCCACACACGCGTGGTCACCCCCACTGTCAGCATCCCCCATCAGTGGAGCACTGATGACCGTGGGTCAACCTGCATGGCTGGATTATAGTCACCTGTCAAGTGCATAGCCTACATTAGAGGCTCTCCTAGGGTTGTGTATTCCGTGGAGTTGGGAAATGACACATAGTACCATTCTGGGATCACACAGAGTATTTTCCCTGCCTGTAAAAATCCTCTTTGTCTGCCCATTCATCCCTTCCTCTCACCCACCTGTGATTTTTTTACCCTCTCCACATATTTACCTTTTCCAGAATGTCATACTGTTGGAATCACGCAGTATGTAGCCTTTTCAGAGTGGCTTCTTTTACAAAGCACTACACATTTAAGTTCCCTTTGTGCCTTGATAGCTCATTTTTTTAATTTTAATTTTTTCAGTGATAGTTGAATAGCTCCTTTCTCTTTAGCACTGAATAATATTCCACTTCCTGTGTGCACCAGACAACTTTTTGACAAAATTGGACGAGAAGGTAGATCTGAGGCGTCAGCTGGAGGAAGAAGAGAGGCTTTGGGTCAATGGAACAGTTTTGTGGATTTTTTTTTAAGGACGAGAGAAACGGGAGCATGTCCAAGTGTTGGTGGTGGAAGCAGAGAAGGGGGGCAGTGAGGAGATGGGAGAAAGGACACAACCCGCAGGTCAAGTTTCCAGAGAAGGTGAGGGAATTGTGCCCAGAGCACTGAAAGGGAAGTGCATTC